TAAAACAGCCCTGCTGTTAGCTCTGACGTTGGCAAAGAGAGTGAGTGTTTGTCTGCTCTCTGTTGCTCCCTCATGTCTCAGAATTCAAGCTGACGGCAGCTCAGCTGTACTGTGTCTTAACCCTGCTCTGAAAAGCATCACAAGCTCATTCAGATCGAGAGTGATAACCTTGGATGGGTTTTATCCTCCTCCTCATAATTCTGAAGAGGAAGCCACATTTCATCTCCTCTGTCCCGTGCCCGCGTTTTCGTGTTACGTGGCGCACATGGCCGCACTGCGCCGCTCTCAGCGTCTGTGCGTGCATTACAGGGACGCCCTCTATCCACCCAGCGCCTCTCACACTGGTTGTGTGAGGCTATTTCTGAAGCTTACAGTTAATCTGGGCTGGATCCTCCAGAGAATCTCAGCACATTCTACCAGAGGGTTTTCATCCTCCATGGCTCTGCATGGAGGGATGACAGTGGAGGATATTTGTATGGCGACTGCCTGGTCATCGCCATGCTCAATTATTCGTTTTTATCTACGTGATGTTTCTACCTTCTCCATGACCCATTCTGTTCTCAGGGTTCTGACAGAATGATTATTTGTTTCATGGGGCCCCACTATTGAGCTCATCATACCTGCCTACATGCAGTCGCAGTGTGAAATATTTATTATCAGTCACAAGTTCATGACTGCTGATTTTATTGTTATTAATCAGTTCATCCTGAGGAGCTGTTGGTCTGCTCTGTTCATCGTTACACTGTTACAATTCGTATCCTCCATTGTTCCTATTCACAGCAGCAGGTCTGCTATCTCAACCTTTTTCCTCACCAGAGATCTATCCTCTGGTGCGCTCCTGCGCACAGAAGGCTGAGTGATGAAATGTTTTTTTGTGCAAGCAGGTGCTTCATTTTGTGTCTGAATGGACCCAGTGAGGCATAGACTACATCCTGCTTCACCTTTAACCCACTAGTGACAGCCTTAAAAGGCGAAGCCTATACAAAATAGAACGTTGGTTACGTACCGTAACTCCAGATTCTATGAGTATAGGCGCAGCCCTTTAAGCTGTGGGCCTCACTGGTTCCTAAATGGCTAAAGAAAAAAGCTATTTGGGAGCCGATTGCAAGGTCTCACCATATTTTATACGGACCGGGGGTGGGGCCCACACAGCAGGTGGGTGTGGACTAAAGTTTTCAGTGCTGCGCTGCGCGCGAAGGGATAAACCCACTAGTGATAGCCTTAAAGGGCTGCACCTATACTCATAGAATCTGGGGTTACAGTACATAACCAATGTTCTATACGCTGGGTTTTCCTAAACTGTGTGTTAGAAAATGTTTAATCTCATTTGATTTTATGAACCAGGCACTGAATGCACCTTTGTGTGACCCTGACCACCTCCATCCTACAGTGCAGATCCTATCTGCCTTCATCTTAAGGGACGATGACCTACCTGTCATTACAGTGTAGGGTTTTTCATTCAACCGTTATTTATACAGGTTAGTCTCATTGAGCCTCGAGGACTCATTTACAAGAGAGACCTGTTTCATTTGCCTCCATCTCACAGTGGGAGGGCCACACCTGGAGGTTTGGTGTGAGTCACATTCTGGACATGGGGACGTTTCCACAAAGACTGACTCAACCCTTTTTTTCATTCAACCTTTATTTCTACAGGTAAATCCCATTGAGCCTCGAGGACTCATTTACAAGAGAGACCTGATTTCAAAGAATGATGACAACAATGGACAACAGTGACAACAATAGATTCAGTATGCAGTTTTCACATGTACTGTTGCACTGTCCCTGTTATACTTGGGTTCTCTACTAGAGGACTGGGAGCTTGAGGGTTCTGCACAGTAAGTTAATCCATACGTACACCCCGCCATAAGTGCTTCTGAAATGTACAGATCACAGGAATCGATGGCTTGCAGCCAAGATGCAGACTGCCAATAAAAAGTCGTGCCTGATTTGCTCAAGGTTTGGAAAATATTCCATTGATCAGGCTATGGAAAACACAGGTGTGGTACACAGAATTTGTGCATGTGGCATGTTAATGACCTGCAGTTCACTTTGCGGTAAGAAATCCTGTCTGGCAACTCGTATAACTTATATTCTTCTATGAGATACTCACAGTACTGCTCCATCCTACTTGCCCCATTGTATTCTACCATGTTGTATTCTACCATGTTGTTTACTATATTTCCTTTGGACCTTGCCGATGTATTTGTTTTTCACCTTTTGGTGCTGTTCTTTTGTTGCATGCTTTGGTTTTCATGTTTGTTTTTTGGCGAGTTGAGATGGTTCTTCTTGTCCTGAGCATTTTGTTGCATTGTTGACCTGCATATGACAAATAAACAACATAAACTAAACTTATATTTGTTGAAAACAGAACAAAATCAGATGAAGTCTGTGTGTGACCATGCTTGTGTAATGCCATCAGTCCAACTTGCAGGATTTAGTCTGATTCCGTTAGTACTTTATCCAGAAGTTAAATGGTACAGAATTATACATGCTTTCAAGAAATCGAGATGAAAAATTACTAGAAAAGGTTACAAATGTGCAGATGTGTGTTAGACCCATCCCAAAAATGGGCTTCAATACAAAGTTTAAATCAGCATCATGTTCAATTTCTCACATTTGTTATACCAACTTTGTTCTTTAATAATAATCCCTTGTGCTGTATATGAAGTGTTATATACAGAGCTACTGTGGGATGCTGAACCTACAATAGAATGTTGACAATTAAACTATAAAGTATTTTACTTCCTGGTTTAATTGAGCAAATGTTCAGTTAAAAAGTTGTCCCTATAAATGAACTTTCTTTACATTTTTCATTTGAGAAGCAGAAGACATTTTAGTTCTATATGTGCTGTGAGTGATTTTACTATTGTTGGATTGCAATGTCCAAACAAATATGGAACATCTTAGTTATTTCTTTCCTATGCCTTCCATTTGGGCCTGACATCTTTTCATTTTGTCTGTTCGACGCACATATTGGTTTGTAATTTTGATATACAGAAACTCCCCATCAAACAGTCTAATTTTCACTGTCAGGCCTTCTTGTCATGGTCACTCATCTACAAGCACAACTTCTCTCATCTAACTCTCATCTGGAATAAAAAGAACATTTTATATAAAGAAAAAACTTTATTTCTTGATACTTGGTTTAATAATAATATTATTCTGGTAGATCTTGACGGTGCTGGCACATTGATGGATTACGAGGCCTTTATCTCTAAATTTAATATTCCAATTGCTTCTGGAGAATATGCAAATGGTTTTGGTGCTATTTCTACAGAGATTACTCTCATACTCTCCTGTTGGCAAAATGTCTTCAATCTCTTCTTGGTAACAATAAGAAGTTAGATCCCTGTATCAGAGGGATCTAACTTGTACTCCTGCTGTTGTTTCATATTGGAATTGCTTTCAGAATATTTCTTGTAAATTTACCTGGTTGCTCTCAAATCACATTCTTCTCACCAACAAGGTAAAAGAAGTGTCCTTCAACCTCATGCACAGGATCTGCCCTGCTAATGACTACCTGAAGAAATTCAACATTGTGGTAAACTTTTGTGACCTTGTTACTCATTTATTCTGGATGCGTCCACATTCTAAAGGGTTGTGGCAACATTTTTGTAACTATGTTGTCTCAAAGATACAAACAAGTAAGCTTTCAGTTGTACTGGGAACAGGTTTGGGTTTAAACATAGTGGCAAAATGAATCCCAAGGTTTTTTTTAATGAATCTATCATTAAAGCTATATTTCATATACACAAATGCAAATTTTTGAAGATAAAACCTGATTTATCTATTTTTTTCATTGAGTTTAAACAATATTTGCTTACAATTAGACCTTTGACTAATCAAAGAGCGAAAATGACAGTATGGTATTAAGTGGGTTTTTTTTTTTACGAGGCTACTTGGCACATATGCTACATTTTGTACAACTGTTTTCTTTCTGCAAGAATAATATGACTGTCATTTTTCTTTTAGTACTTTAATTTATGCTTCTCCTTGCCATTCTTCATTTATTGCTTTGTTCAAATGTGTTATTCTTTGATGCAAATAAAGATTTTTTTTAAGAAAAAAAAAGGTGGTAATACATATGTGTACCTAAACTCAATTCAAACCTTTGTTCTAACCTCAACCCAAAAACAACATTTTAAATCAGGATGACTTTGGTCCTAGTAAGAACTAAGAACTACTGGTCCTGACAAGGTTGGTGATTATACCAGAAAAGGTCCTACAAATGTAAAAAAAAAAAACAGGTGCACGCACACCACCGCTACTATTTCTACCAATAGATTAAAAATATCCATTTGTCACATTAAAACATTTTATTGCAAAAAATAAAGTCAGCACAGAAAAGGCCATTGCCATAGGATTTATACATCACTGTTGAAAGAAAAGAACCTTCTTTTTATTTCTACATTCAGTGTGAAACGACAAAGGAGTGTTGGACTGAATCTTTATGACTCAGCTTTAAGTCCAGATATTACGAGTATGGCAGCTACGTTTCAAAGATACGAAATAAAATGACTTGTCGTTACAGTCTAAAACCATTTCCATGAGTACAGAACTTTGTGAAACATGTGGTCTACACAGCAACACAAGGCCGGGGCTAATTCTTGGAAAGTGGCTGCTAAAATGACAGCATCTTGGATTCAGCAACATTCACGTCTTGATTGTCAGCTCATTGACTTCAAGTCTGACCTGAGAAAAAAAATGTGATCACTTTTAACTCAGAGGGGTTCTGTTGTATTTCACATTTCCTTCTCACTCAAATATTTCTAGCCTTTTGACAGATTTTGGTTTATTTTAATAGATCTGTTTAACATAAAGTCTGAATTAATTATCTCCAAATAACGAGTCCAGTCACTGTAACGGTTTTCTAAAGGCCACTGGAATTAGAAATACTCTAAAAAATAACCTGTGCGGTTTCTACAACCCTTAAAGCAAAAACAGTTGCATAGATTCAAAAATATTCCAGCATTTTAACCTCTTGGGAGAGCAAGGTAGTGACGCATGAACTTAATCACAGTGCAGCAGTGAAGGCTTTTTAGAGTTGATCGTCAGCAAACAGCAGCTTCTTCACCTTTTCATTGTACGGTTTATGTGCGACCAGGTCTAATCGTCGCCTAAATTAAAGCTCAAAACCTCGAAACAAAAAGGTTTGTCTTTGGTTAACAGCTGGGAAGGCACAACGGACTCCCATGCTTTGGTTTTAAAGTCCAGCCGAGCCAACAAACATCAAACCCGTTCACCAGTCGCTGAAGCGGAGTCGATTAAAGGCCTCTATGATGTCCTCGTCGGTTGCCGATCCCCCACTGGTGCCAGTACGAAGAACTTTGCAAAGCGGGACATCCTGCTTCAGCTTCCGCTTAATGAGGATCACGGTGCCTTCGGTGCCTTCATTCTCAGGACCCGTCAAGAGGAGGTAAGCTGCGTGGCGTCCATGCTCCATGAGCGTGGCTAAAAGAAAATATATATATATATCTGAGCTGGCATTTTCTCATTCCCTTAATCATTCAGAGATGTGTAATCATATTAGGTTTACAATTAAGTTTGAACTATTTAAATATAGTAAACATCACCTTTGAAGGATATGATGTGGTCCAAGGCGTTGGTGAACTCGAGGAGAACTTTAGGGTAGAGGGGATGCAGCATGTAAGAGCGTCGGTCAGTCTGTATTAATTCCTGAAAATAAATAAATAATTCAGTCTCCGAAAGAAGTTTGTGATATTCTGTCACAAAATCTGATGTTTCCATGAAATCAGCGTTCTTACAGATGAGTTGGACTCTGACGGCATCAAGCCCCAAAACATGAAGATCGAGTAGGAGTTGGTGGTGTGGATCGAGGTGGGCCTGGGAGAGTTGGCGTTGGCGCTGGCGAGAAGTTGGAGCTCCCACAGCACGCCGCCAGACGCCCCGTTCAGGATGATTATCTACAGACACAGACAGGAAGGCTTGGCTCAAATAATCAGAAAATCAGGACAGAGAAAAGAAACAAAGAGAAATAACTCACCCTCTTTGTGTAGTTGCCTATATCTTCTTCAACCACAACGTCAAGGACTTTGTCTTTGTTAAAGTGACCAAAGGAAGGCATGCTGAAAGAACAAGGAGGAAGGATTTTCAAATCTCAACACACCTCATTATAGAAATATTACCAGTTTGGTTGAACGTTTAATATGAACGTGTAACTAAAATTAGACGGGATGCAGTTATAACCGTTTTAACTTAAAATATGAACAACATACTTATGTCATTTGTGTGTTCATCAAAGTTCATTAGCTATTGAGGATGGAAATTTATTTGATGTTACTAGACCTGTCCACGGTGTCCCCCATCCCTCACACAGTCAGTGACTGCTGGATACAAGCATCAGTGGCCCCCGCAACCCGGAAAAGTAAGACGCGGGTAAAGATAACAGCTGGACGGATGATTCCAAAGAACATTTCATGGCTGTAGCACATGATCAATATATCATATTTTGTTCTAAAAAGAACAAGTCATACTTGTGGATCTAAATGTGTCATGGCTACCATCACATAAAAATGAATTATAAGATCATTTTATTTGTTTTCTTCTGTCATCTAATCGAGCAAACCTGGGCAAACATATACTTCTCGTTTTGCGTTTTCATTTGCCACAACTTCTGCAGATGCTCTGCACTCTGTGGGACCTGGGACCTGCCACAGCGTCTTTTTAACAAGTCTCCACAAAACGCAATGCCTTCTCTCGAGTCCATCACCATTTCAGAAAACCCACCACATGTGGATTAAAATACGACACTAAACTGTATTCAAACCCATCTACTGGTTCATGAGATATTTTGCTAACGCAGCAAAGGAGCACACACAGAACATTACTGCCTATGGCAGCTGGCAAAAACTATTTCTAAAAACTGTTATAGTAAAAAGAAAATCAGTCACCCAAGAACTGAGCTGATGTTAAATGTCCACCGTAGCTGCAGTTTCCCTCCATCGACTAAAGCCACCTCGTTCCCAGACACAACCAGCAGGTCGGATGAATCATCGGTGTCTTGAGTTCGGAGCAAACTCACAGCATCAGACCTACAACGTAGCATCAAATATTAGCAAACGAAATCTCACTTTAACCAAAGTCAGCAGGCAGGCTGCTTCTTACTCATGGATGAGAACAAGTCCGGTCGCAGCATCGGCCTTTTTCTCCAAGTGTTTGTCCTTCTTGAGGTTAGCGTTCAACTCAGCTTTAGCCTCGGCAGCGATCCTCCACAGTGCCAGTCCGTGCACACCTGTGTCTGAGAGAGCGTTCACTCTAACTACTGCCGTCAAAAAGATTCATTCATTTTCATCTGTGCTGGTTCTGACTGCTTCTTGTCCTCCCACTACCAGCTGACAACTACCAAAACAAAACCAAACACTGTTAAACCTCGAGACAGACAGGATACAAGGACGCTTGTTTGAAAAAGTAACAGATTTGGTTTTTGAGCACATACATAACTACATAAAACAAAAATGGCTTTGTATTTGTATTCTACAAAACTACTTCTTTGTGAAAGCTGCAGAGCTGATATTCTGCTGCTTACAGATGAACTCAACATTCTTAACAGAGTGTGGTTTTTGAACCTGGGCATCTTGGGAACAAACCTTCCGCTCCCTCTGGATGACATTAATTTGACATTCTGTAAAAAGCTAAAGTATCATTTTTGATCAAGATGTATTTTTTAACTCTCGTATTAAAACTGTTACTAAGACCACTTCCAAGCTGAGGGACCATCCCGCCTTACAAACGCTGCCCTGTCGCTTGATGTTAACAAAAAGGTCTCTAGAGATATTGACCAGATGCTGTTTAACTTCATGTGGAAGAAAAAAAAACACTATATAAAAAAAAATCTGTAATTATGAACTCTTATGATAAGGGTGACCTCAGCTTTTTGGTCTTTTACACCTTAAATAACACATTTAAAATTAATTGGCTAAAACAATTGATCAAGAACCCATCTTCAGTTTGGAACTTCATACCAAACTATTTTCTCTAAATTAGGAGGTCTACATTTCTGTCTATTTTGCAATTATAATGTTGAAAAAGTCCCTCAAAACTATCCAGTTTTCATAAACAGATGCTTCTCTCTTGGTCATTGATTTACAAACATATTTGTTCTCTACACAGATATTATATTTAGAACAATAGAAACATCTTGCATAAAAACAAATCCTTATTTTACCCTAATTGGTTTATTCACAACAGTTTTAGTTCATCAGTTGCTCAACACTGATGGATCATTAATGTCATTAAGAATTTGTCATAAAATATAACATTATGATTCCTATTAACGAATTTAATATTGTAATAAAAGCAATCCCTACTGGAGTAATTATTTTACATACAAGTACAGCAGGACACTGCTTTTACCATTTGATCCAAACAAACTTGAAATTGGTCAAATCTGCTTCTCCTCAACCCACAACAGCAACCGTCGTATCCGTTCACTATTTCAGAAAGATGTTGGGTCAACTCCATATGTGGTACCTTATTGGAACACCTTTATTAATAACCTTAACTGGAAAAGGATTTGGACTTTACCAACGAGAGACATGATAAATAATAAAGTAAGAGAAGTATCATTCAAAATTATTCACAGATTTTACCCATCCAAAGTTTATTTACAACGGTTGAACAAGGATATAAATATAATTTGCTCTTTTTGTGATGAAAACCCAGAAGATGTCTTTCATTTATTTTGGTCTTGTCCCTTCTCGACTCAATTTTGGAAAAAGTATTTGTATTTTGATTTATACTTTTACAGAACCAGATCTTTTACTTTGCTTTGAACACATTTTGTTTGGCTTCACTGACTACCCAACAGCTAAAGAAAAACAGTTCTATATTATTAATCTTATTATCCACCTCTCCAAATGGCATATTCATAAATGTTGTTACACCGATCAAAAACCTCTTGTATCCATTTTTGAAAATGAGGTCAAACAATAACAAAACTATTAAATATTCCACCAACACGAAGGCCATAAAAACTTGCACCTTATGTGCTCTCTTTAATATATTTATGCAATATATTATTGTAAAGTATTGTCTCAGTGCAACCCCCTGGCATCTGTTCTATCATTACTGTATACTGCATTTTATTGTATTGTTTTGTATTATTTCAATAAAGATTAAAAAAGACCACTTCCTTCCATCTGCACATTATTAAAACTAGAAAAATATTGTCCCAAAATGATGCAGAAAAACTCCACGCATGAAACAATTGTAAAGTTTTATCATCTCATTATTTAATATCTGCCTTTTAACTTACAAAGCACTCAACAATCAAGCTTCATTTTATATTAAAGACTTGATTGTTCCATATTTCAGAGCACTTTGTTCTCAGACTGATGATTTTTGTGACTCCTGGAGTTTCTAAAAGTAGAATGAGAAGCGGAGGTTTTTGTTATCCTGCTGCTTGTTCGCTTGACACTTCTTACAAGTGTTTTACTGAAGATATGGACTACCCTGGGAATGTCACAGACTCTTTCAGATACAAACCGTTTTGCAGTAGCACGTAGTAAGAACCCTCTTTACTGAGATGGACAAGATGACTTGCTGACTTGAAGGAGTCAAGAACCACAGTGGAACCGATCTGAGCGCCTGTCTTCCCTGAGAGCAATATAATCTGAGTCTGCAGATCAGAAAAATGTTTTGCTGCAATATTAGGTGATTTTACTCCCACAACGTATCATTTAAATATATTTTAATATCAAAGAAGAAAACAAAAATATAAAATTCAAACTAATTCAAAACATATCTAACACATTTGTTGTGTTACGATGTAAATAAGCATGACATAAGTAAAACTATAAGTACACGTGGCTTCAAAGTTCATAAATAACATCACCTGTGTGTTGTCTGATGCCACCAGCACCACATCAGCAACCTTGTCACCGTCCAGATCTGGGACACTGAGGACCGGCAAAGAGCTCAGGAGACCAGTCGGCTGAGGCTGCTGCCAAACGACATGACCTGACAAACACATCAGACAAGAACAGAGCATTCAGTGTGACTGGCTTTAAAAACAACTCACCTCAGTGGAATCAGACAGGTTTCTGAGCGATGTCAAAGAGCTGAGTGCACATCATGGAGGCAAAAAGCTGTGGTTATCCTGTGCTATAAACCTGAGCGTCTAAGTCGGGAGGTGAAAGTTGCTCAAAAATTAAGTCAGCTATCAAAACAGCAAATGGAAATTGTTCAACGTTCTGAATGAACCACAACACTTTACTAAGAACATTAAAGGACTAACCCCTGCTGTTTTTCATGCCAGAGGTCTAAACTAAAATCCTCTTGTGCTGATGAAGGGACAGACATTACAAGAGCATATAACAACGGTTCCCTGGGTTCTTCTCCAGTTGAAGCTTTAAGGAGAGTTCAGTAGTAACTTTACATACTGGTTGTTAAATTTAGTTGGAATCAATTTGTAGAAATTTGATTTCATGTTATTTTTAAAACATATATTTTTGTTGTCAAAATGGCCATTATTAATTTATAATAGCAATAAATGGATAAAACATCCAAGAGCTCTATACTTTTTCTAGACGCTGTAGGTTTCTGGGTTTGTGTTGGATTACTAACCTGTGTTTTTGTCAATGGCTGTGAGGTTGTCTGAATGGGACAGCAGACAGTGCCAGCTGGCCGGTGTCCTGTGCTCCAGACCACACTGAGCCCAGTGGAACTCAGAACCCAGTGGCCTCTCCCACAGCGTGTCTCCATCAGTGCCGTCCACCGCCATCACAAATAAACACGGCGAAGGCAGGCCTGGAAAGTGCATGAGCTTTAACTGAATTATACATAAATAAAACACAGCAAAATCAACAACTTGTTTTTTTTTGTTTGTTTGTTTGCAAAATAAATTTAAGCTAACAGTTTCATACCTGCGTCAGCGCATGATTTGTTTTGTGTGCCGTTTGTGTTTTTCAGGACAAAAAGGACATCCATTACTTTGTCCTGGCTTGCATGTTCAATAGCAAGGAAGTCATAGGTGGCTGTGTGAGAGAATGAGAAAGTGGTAGTTGGTAAAAAGTCAGAAGTAAAAAAAACAAGGCAAGGAATACACACCTGCGTCTGAAAAAGTCCTGTTCCAGATAATGAGATATTGTGGTCTGACGGGACAAGGGAGGATGAAGGAGAAGGCAAACACAATGGTGAGGCAGAGGAACAAGGACAGGAAGAAGACTGCGGTCCTCCAGTGGGACATTCGGGAACAACCCAAGCCTTCTTTCCATTTCCTGTTTTTTATATCTGTTGCTGGCGGTGCCGTGACAGTTTTTGTACCATCTTCTTCCCTCTTCAGAGGGTCGCTCTCAGTAACTTGTCCTGCAGACTCCATCACTGCCTTCTTAATGCATTATTGGCTTTAGAGACCTGTTTGAAAAAGAAGATGCTTTACAGCAAAATCATACATCCACATTACGAAAACCCTAAATCCAGTTAATTTAATCCAGAGTAGCTACTCCCATTGTGGCATACGGTTTATGTTTGCATCATCCCTGGCATTTAAATGAACAGTACATGAACATACTGGAGGCTGCAGTATCTGTCAATCAGCTTTTTCTGCAGCATCAACCTTTGTGGATTTGTGCCTATTCAGACGTGCCAGCCCTGAATCCAGAAATTTCTCTGCACAAAAGCAACAAACCGGAGAAAGCGTCATTATCCTGTGCCAAGAAAGCTATGTATTCAATGACCCCAAGGCTTATTACCCACAATTAAAAACAAATGATGCTACAAACTTTCTTACTTAGCAAACATAGCTAACAAATTCAGAGTCAAAAATGTATTATTTTTCTCTAACCATCTCGTTCATGACTATTGTTAGCGAAAATAGAACTGTTCAAAAACTGGTTGTTTGCTAACTTGTTGAACAAGGCGGCTAACGAACACAAAAAACATGACTGTGGTGACCCAGTTTCTGCGTAAAGACTAAAACCCACCGTTTGAGGTAACCGTAACTACAGGAAAAGTTAAGAAGTGAACAAAAATTGGGAAAAGTTTTACTTACTTTAAGTCTAAGCTTTAATTGTCTGCAGCTAGTGAACAGCGCAGCAGGCCTGACAAACTTGCTGGTAAACAAATCCCTAACTTGTATTAAACCTTGTAAATTACACCCTTCAATTTGTTTGACAGGTAGATTTAGTTTGCAAAAATTTTCAAACTTCAGACATTATCGCGCATATAAATTATAACAATGCTAATAATTACAAATCTTATTGAAAAGTCAAAATTTTACCTTAATTAAAAAGCACTACCATAGGACGAAATGTGGTGTAAATTCGCAACCTGAAAGTCTTTACTTAGGAAACTAAAATCCTTATATTTCGTCCTGTGATTGGTTGTATTCCTTTGGTTCTAGCATTATGATTGGTTGATTTTGCATTTGCGGCGCGATCTAACATTGACGTCACTTCCTTAATGTCAACCGGAAACGGGCCAGTTGACAAAATAGCGAAAAGCGGCGAGCGGTGGCGGTGGAATGATTAAATTATTCAAATATCCCTGCAAAGAAACTGAGGAACTGTTTTCAGTTGCTTGATTGTTATAGAGAACTGTCGACGGAATATTTACGACAATGTCTGCCCAAGCTCAGATGAGAGCTTTGCTCGACCAGCTGATGGGAACAGCAAGGGATGGTGAGTCGCCGTGAGATGCTAACTGAACTAGCGAGCTAGCCAAGATGGAGGTTCTGCTGAGGCTGGCTTGTGGTTGTCGTGTGATGAACAGCGCTGCATAGATAAATGTACCGTAAAAGGCTGCTTAAAATACAGTTATGGTGGATTCAAGTCCCAATTTAAGGACTGACGTATGGGGTTAATGTTTCCATCTGCAGTGGCTTTATTAAATTTACTCAATTTTTCGCTTTATCATCTTTAGCACGTTGGCTATGTTAGCCTTTGCTCTCGTAGCGTTTATTGTGAAAACGGCTGAAGTTAACGTCCCACTCACAAGGGCCTTTTCACTACTTATGACGTCTGAACTACCTTAATGCTTGTACTGATCAAACCCGTATAGAAATATCCCACACCAAACACTTTTTAAAAACATGATTGTGATCGGTCATAACGCATTTCTAACTATATTTGTAAAATCCAAAAACTGAACGTACAAATTATTATTTATTAGGTTTTTTTGCCTTTACCCATTAATTGGGGTCCAGTTCAAAATTTACAGACTGGTCAATTCTGGACAAAAGTGTCCGAATATAAACTCTTTACTTTATGATATTTGTCAAGTTTTATTTGTCATAATTTACGTGCACCCTAGTAAAGAAGGATCATCTATATAAATTCTGTTTACATTTATAATATTACTATCAGGCATGCTGGACAAGTTGAGTTTTCTTTATCTGTACTTTACAAGGAAGTAGCTTTAGTGTATAATCAGTCTTGTTAGCTTTTTTAAAATACATATAACACTATTGTGTATTGTTGGATAATCTGTTTTATAGGCATCATGTTTTAACATGAGATGACCCTGTGTTATAATCTGTTAAATACAATATTTTGATCACCATATATATGCATAGAAATTTAGGTATATATATATATATATATATATATATATATATATATATATATATATAACTTAACATAACAAAATATAATTGACTATTTTATTTGTACTCAGTGATTACAATACCCTTATAGTAATCATATAATTGTTTAGTAATTGTCTGAATACATCTATGTATATATACAGTGCCTTGCGAAAGTATTCGGCCCCCTTGAACTTTTCAACCTTTTGCCACATTTCAGGCTTCAAAGATATAAAATTTTAATTTTTTGTGAAGAATCAACAACGAGTGGGACGCAATTGTGACGTGGAATGAAATTTATTGGATGTGTCAAACTTTTTTAACAAATAAAAAACTGAAAATTGGGGCGTGCAATATTATTCGGCCCCTTGCGTTAATACTTTGTATACTTTTGTACTTTTGCTGCAGTTCCAGCTGCAAGTCTCTTGGGGTATGTCTCTGTCAGTTTTGCACATGGAGAGACTGAAATTCTTGCCCATTCTTCCTGCAAAACAGCTCGAGCTCAGTGAGGTTGGATGGAGAGCGTTTGTGAACAGCAGTCTTCAGCTCTTTCCACAGATTCTCGATTGGATTCAGGTCTGGACTTTGACTTGGCCATTCCAACAACTGCATACGTTTATTTGTGAACCATTCCATTGTAGATTTGGCTTTATGCTTTGGATCATTGTCTTGTTGGAAGATAAATCTCCGTCCCAGTCTCAGGTCTCTTGCAGACTCAAACAGGTTTTCTTCCAGAATGGTTCTGTATTTGGCCCCATCCATCTTCACATCAATTCTGACCATCTTCCCTGTCCCTGCTGATGAAAAGCAGGTCCAAACCATGATGCTGCCACCACCATGTTTGACAGTGGGGATGGTGTGTTCAGGGTGATGAGCTGTGTTGCTTTTACGCCAAACATATCGTTTTGCATTTTGGCCAAACAGTTCGATTTTGGTTTCATGTGACCAGAGCACCTTCTTCCACATGTTTGGTGTGTCTCCCAGGTGCTTGTGGGAAACTTTAAACAAACTTTTTATGGATATCTTTGAGAAATGGCTTTCTTCTTGCCACTCTTCCATAAAGGCCAGATTTGTGCAGTGTACGACTGATTGTTGTCCTATGGACAGACTCTCCCACCTCAGCTGTAGATCTCTGCAGTTCATCCAGAGTGATCATGGGCCTCTTGGCTGCATCTCTGATCAGTCTTCTCCTTGTTCCAGATGAAAGTTTAGAGGGACGGCCGGGTCTTGGTAGATTTGCAGTGGTCTGATACTCCTTCCTTTTCAATATGATTGCTTGCACAGTGCTCCTTGGGATGTTTACAGCTTGGGAAATATTTTTGTATCCAAATCCAGATTTAAACTTCTCCACAACAGTATCTCGGACCTGCCTGGTGTGTTCCTTGGTCTTCATGATGCTCTCTGCACTTTGAACAGAACCCTGAGACTATCACAGAGCAGGTGCATTTATATGGAGACTTGATTACACACAGGTGGATTCTATTGATCATCATCAGTCATTTGGGACAACATTGGATCATTCACAGATCCTCACTGAACTTCTGGAGTGAGTTTGCTGCACTGAAAGTAAAGGGGACGAATAATATTGCACCCCCCACTTTTCAGTTTTTATTTGTTAAAAAAGTTCGACACATCCAATACATTTCATTCCACTTCACGATTGTGTCCCACTTGTTTTTGATTCTTCACAAAAAATTACATTTTTATATCTTTATGTTTGAAGCCTGAAATGTGGCAAAAGGTTGAAAAGTTCAAGGAGGCCTAATACTTTCACAAGGCACTGTATAGCCATAAAGATGGTAACATTAAATGACACATTAGTTATGAGGTCCATTCCTTGGGGTAGAAAAATGCCTTTTAATAGCCGCGCTACCATTTTAAAAGCAAAACTTCCATTGTGACAGTAGCGTGAATAAAATTGCAGCCCTGTTGATCTTAACAAGCTGCCAAGTCCATTTGTTCAATAAGAGTGAATTTGTGTTGTGAGTCTGTGGGTGTATGTGTGATAAGATTGATATCAAAATTCTTCCCATACATTTGTTGCATACAAACTGAACAATTGTGGCCCCTTTATTTTATTCATTAAGGTTCAGTGTATCATTGCCAGCCTACATCAATCTGCAAAGGAGTTGCAGAAAAGCCTCATGTTCATCGAGCCGTGAGTCACACATAATTTTTAAAGCTGTTATGATTAATATCCAAACAATTTGTTTGCCTTCCGAAAGTTATTCTAGATTTTTTTTTTTTAAATAATACAAATAAATACACAAGTTGTATTGGCCTCTTCAGTGGCACTAGAATTACAATTTGGAGTAGTTGCATACATTGAGCTAAAACGTCTAGTCGCGCTGTGTCCACACAAGCAGTTCTCAGTTTTCTACACGTATACAGGCCTGGTACATATTACACGTCTGTTTAACAGTCCACGCAAAAACTTTGCCAGCATCACTTACAATTTTACTTGTGTATGACTCCCAACTTCTTACTACAGGTATGGGCAAGAAAACTGTTCCCATTTATACTTTTCCACAGCGGGTTTAAAATTCTGCAGCTGAGGTCTTGAAGATGCAGAAGGGTACAGTATGTGGTGCAGATCGCAGTGTGTATAAACATGTTTTTCCCCCTTCCATTTCTTTTGCATTTTGCTTTGAATGTTTTTTTCAGCGATTGTATTTAATACATGGCTCGGTGAAGACATTTTTATTCACTTAATTTACGGTATTTTGATAGTTTTGATACCCATCTTGTCAGCATAGTCAATTTGAAAGTAAAAATATAAGCCAAAAAAGGGGAGTAGTTAACTTTTTAATATTTTGTTGCACTCCTGGTAGCTCTCATTTGTTGCTCCACATTTCACAGTAAACATTGAGCCTTAAAACAGGTTTACACAAACTGAGGCTCTTGCAGTTTTATGTGTGTATTGAGGCTTAAAGGTAAGCACCAAGAAAACCTAAAGTATCACACACATGCACACATACATCATTTTTACTTTAATGATGGTAATAAAATATCTGAAAACAGTTCTATAGAAGCAGTTATTTGTATAAAGGAAATATAAATATATATATTTTTAAGTGTTAAAATAGTTTTTAATGTTTTATTTGGACCAAAATCAAGTCCAGTTTTGTTATTTTTGCAGTTACAGTGATGTATGTAAAAGCTGTGGATGCCTCGAACTTGCAGTCAAGTATATGGGGTCTTTCTCACTGTTGCTTTTTTGGATTTTTTCAGGAGACGAGACACGGCAGAGGGTCAAGTTCACAGATGATCGAGTCTGCAAAAGTCACCTTCTCGACTGCTGTCCACATGACATCCTGTCTGGAACTGTAAGTAAGCCGTACCTAAAATGTTAACTGCTAGAAACAATAGCATCCTTTGGAATCTTTAGGGGGAAATGGGGCTGGACGATATCTCATTATCTTTAAAATATCAAGATAATTTCATTTGCTATATAAAATTAGACTATATCGATATAAAACGATAGTCTCACTCTATGTAGTTATAATACTTGGAAAATCTTCCAGTTTTTGTCCAAGTCTGCACCTTCACACATCCTCTCCTCCTCTCCTTCACTACTGCACACCCAGCCCCTCACCTGCTCCCTTCACCTCCTGCTGTGCAAAACTGCCTGCTGCTGCAGCTCCCACTTTGAACTGACTGACTGAGCGTTTTTGGATTTGGTACCTGGATGACTGAGCATGAACTTTGTTGCTCCCACTTTGAACAAGCTAGATGCATATGCAGATATCAATCATCACAATAGGTCTTTGTTGACTCACAGTGGAGATACTCTGGTGACATGGATGTAAATTCCTGATAGGTGTGATAATGACTGGGTAGCTGCTACAAAGGAGAGGTTTGGTGTCTCCAGGAAATTAGCTGGTTGAGAGCGGCACGGTATGAGTCTTCTCATTAAAAAAACACAGAGACAGATATCCAGCTTAAGCCTCCAGTATACTGCCGCGTACGTCCGTTCACGCTTACGTACGCGTGTACTGTACACAGAGGGTTCAGACTTCGTACTCCAGCGTACACCCCGAGCAGCTGCAGAGCAGCTTCACAGACAAGGGGCGTTTACCTTCAGGACAAATTGAGGTCGCCGATTGGTCATTTGCTGACACGCCTACTGGATTGATTGACAGATTGGAAAAAAGAAAAAAAAGCAAGCGCTGGCTGTGCAGCCCACACATCAGACCAGCCCACCAGGAAATCTCCAGACCCTCCCGCAGCCACGCTGGACCCGAGTTTAATTCGCTCGTGACAAATTCCTTCTTTTCTCACCATTTCAGTCATGGCATCGATGGAGGAGGAAGAGATCATTTGCCTCTTGGCAAAAAAACAAAAGAAAAGGCCAGATCAGGGATGAAGAAGGAGAATTTAATACATTGGTGTCGCATACAAAACAGTCCGTCGCTGGGCAGTTTATTGTGCAACACAGAGTATGCGGTTGTAAAAATTTGAGCTTTGCACGGACATGCCCTGGGGGGTACGCTCATACCTCCACGTACGTGCGTACCTCTGCGTATGGACGTACGCGGCAGTATACTGGAGCCTTTAGGGTGATTTATTTGCTGTGTTTCTTCTGGTGTTTACGCACAGCAGTAACCAGTAAAGCGCAAACAGAAGCTCAAACTGCAAGGCTCCGTCGGTGTCAGGAGAGAAAAATCTCCACCACACGGCACGCAGCACGGCACTTAACACAGAGCGGTGCGTTCAATAGCGTCAGAACAGACACGGTGCATTCAGGAGCATAAGAACCATGAAATTCAGAAAGAAACGAGCCATAATCAGAACAGAATCAGATAAACAGAACCGAGCTCAGTAAACGAGCCAACTACACAACAATGTGGACTTTCTAACAGCTTTGTTAATAAAGTCAAAGTTTATTTGTCATTCACACCACATGTGGTACATGTGGTGGAACGAAATTATGTACACAGGGTCCCAGTTACATCCAACAAAAATATAAATTGTAAAGAAAAACTGCAATAAGATCTAAGATATGAACTCAGAAATATGCTAAACTAAGAATACACTAAGCACTTTTAATACAAAAACAATACGCCGAACAACAGCAGCATGAAACAAATCAGCAGCATCATGATGTGATTTTTTTTTTTTTTACAGTGATTATCCTGGTTAAGGATTCATTTAACAGCTTCAGGGTAGAAGTTGTTCCTCAGTGTAGTGGTTCTACACGTAATGCTCCTCAACCTCCTTCCTGAGGGGAGCGGGGCAAAAAGTGTGTGTGCTGGGTGAGTGGGGTCCTTCATGATGCAGGTGGCCTTCTTTCTGCATCTGGAGGTGTAGATGTGATGGTATGGTTGTTCTTCCTGCACCAACTCTCCAGGTTTTCCACCTCTTGCCTGTAGCTGGACTCTTCGTTGTTTGTGATACATCCAACCACCACTGTATCGTCTGCAAACTTTACAATGTGACAGCCTAGATGGGTAGGTGCACAGTCATACATAAGCAGAGCGAACAAGAGGGGGTTCAGCACACAGCCCTGAGGGGAGCCAGTGCTGAGGGTTATGGTGGAGGAGAAGTTGTGGATCCTCACAGACTGCGGTCTGTTTGGTAAGAAGTCTAGTACCCAGTTGCAAATGGAGGGGCTTAGTCCTAGTGTGAATAGTTTGTCCATCAGGGTTTGGGGGATCATGGCAGACGTGAAGTCCACAAAGAGCATACGGACGTAGGAGTCCTTCTTCATGTTGGTGAGAGCAGAGTGGATCACAAAGGAGATGGAGGTTAATAAAGGTTGAATGAATATACTTCATTAGAATCAGACTTTTTAAAGAGCAAGTTAGCCTTTCATTATTTGCTCTGTTTTCTGTTTAAATTTTAAGTGCACAGTTGTGTTTTTGGTTTTGTTTTGCAAGAAAAAAAAACAACTTTATTTTATTTTTGAGACATTTATTTTGTACAGTTACGGCTGTCTGTTAATAAAGGTGCCTGTGACAATTGGGACAAAGCTTTGACTCAGACCAATATTTTTATTATTACTTTATGGACAGAAAAAAATATTTATGTATATCGCCATTCATCTTAAAAATGTAAAAAAAATAAATTTTGGTCCATATCGTCCATCCCTAGGGGGAAATAATCAGTCAAGAATTACAAATAAAATCTTAAATCTTTTTGTGTTTGAGTTTCTAACATTAGATCTCTGTCTGACTGTGTTTGTGACAGCGTATGGACCTGGGGGAATGCACAAAGATCCATGACCTGGCACTTCGGGCAGATTATGAAATTGCTTCCAAGGAGAGAGATCTTTTCTTTGAACTTGATGTAAGTGATGCTGTTCATTCAATTGTGTGCATGAGCATTTTAAAATGCCAAGTTGCAGGATGAAGGGGTGCGTGCTTAAACTTGGGGGCCATTATCTCAGCTCGTAACAGTTGAACTCTTCATAATAAGGTTTAGTTAAAGTAGGAGTTTTTAAATGTTGATTACTGTGTGCAGTTTGGTTTATCTGTTATTTTTCTTGTCCTTGAAGGCAGTGGATCACCTGGAGTCGTTCATTGCCGACTGTGACCGAAGAACAGAACTAGCCAAGAAGCGTCTGGCTGAGACCCAGGAAGAGATCAGTGCTGAGGTGTCAGCAAAGGTAAATGACAGGATTTATAGAACATATGAAGTTTTTCTTTTCATACAGTAACTGTTTTTCTTTGTGTGCTGCGTTGATTTGCATTTTAGGCAGAAAAGGTGCACGAGCTGAACGAGGAAATAGGTAAGCTTCTTGCCAAGGCTGAGCAGCTTGGAGCTGAAGGGAATGTCGACGAGGCTCAGAAGGTCTTACAGGAAGTGGAGAAGGTCCGTACCAGGAAAAAGGATGCAGAGGTAAGTAGAAAATCATTTGAAGTAGGGGTTGAACGAGTATAGGATTTTTAAACTTGACATTAACATAATAAAACCCGAGTAGAACTCGATTATTTGATGACGTCATAGATCTCAAGATACAAAAATAAATAAATAAATAAAACCGCAAAAAAAGGTAATTATTTACAAAAAAAAAAGACCAACAAAACATTGGGAGCGTATATTATGCTCCTACCATTTATCATACTGCAAATAAGTCACAGGAAAAACTAAACTATTAGTTATTATTATTAAACTCCAAACGTGAAGAAACATGCAGCACGTCAAAAAACGAAACTTAAACCGAAACTGGTTCGGTGGATTGGACCCGGTGTTACACCATACTCTGTGACCTGCAACAGTGCAACACCGCCCCTTACGGTCATACGGTGGTCACATAATATGACGTCACTACGGATACTCGAAAGTAAAATTTTTAACCTCGGTAGAGGTCCTAGCAATTGATGTGTAGATTACTCGAGTACTCTGTTAATGCCCTAGTTTGAAGTCATTTTGCAGAAAATGTAACATGTTGGGGTTTTTTGTTGTTAAAATTGTCCTTCTGAGCTTTCAGTTTAGTTTTTGTTTTGTTTTGTTTTTCTCAGGAAGAATATAGAAACTCTATGCCTGCCTCCAGCTTTCAGCAGCAAAAGCTCCGGGTGTGCGAGGTTTGCTCTGCTTATTTAGGTCTCCATGACAACGACCGTCGTTTGGCTGATCATTTTGGTGGAAAGCTTCATCTGGGCTTCATTCAGATCCGAGAAAAACTGGACCAACTAAAGGTATGCAGCAGCATGTACACATTAAACTGCTTTAACAGACTGATGTGTTAAAAAGTGATATGGGAGGAAATGTTGGGAAACCTACTGAACCGGGGTTTCCTTATTAATTATTATTATTTTAATTGTTGGATTAGAAAACTGTGGTTGAGAAGCAAGAGAAGAGGAACCAGGATCGCTTGAAGAGAAGGGAAGAAAGGGAGAAGGAGGAAATGATGAAAAAAAGGTAAGTTCATGATTTCAAATACTAATGATGTTTATAAGGATTCATTTGATGCATTTTATCGTATTATATAATGTTTGTTCATTTTTATAGGACCAGATCACGGAGCAGAGAGCATAAAAGGTGGAGGAGTTAACTTATTCATCCTTTTTCTTCATTTGTGTCTATAATTAGATTGGTTTTGATTTCCAGTGAACGATGAGATTAAATCTAAACTCTTGTGTCATTTGGTGAGTTTACCAGGTCTCGTTCACGTGACCGCAGAAGAAGGCGCTCCCGCTCCTCGTCACGAGACAAGCGCCGTTCTCGCTCACGCTCCAGGGAGCGCAAGAGACGGCATCGCAGCCGGTCCCGCTCCCGCAGCCGAGGACATCATCACAGCCATAGTCGCGAGCCGAGCTCAAAACACAAGTAAATACAGAGCTTGTATTTCATTTAGTGATCTGACAAAAAACAAGTTTTATTTTTTATGTTTTAATATGTTTTAATATGTTCCTGAGAAAATGCTCATACAGCTTCAATCGGGGTTATTTCTCTTTGAAAAATATAAAATTCAGTCACATTGAATGTGTTGTCGTTAATTTGATTTTGCCAAAACAAGCAGAGGAAAATGAACATCTTTGAGGTTGATGCAATTATATATTTACATATGCATATGTATATACATCTATATGTGTATGTATGTATACATATATGTAGGTTAATCATGAATGTAGTACTCCCTACCACCTTGTATATGTGCATATTGTCTTTTTCCAAAATTGTGTACCATATCTTCCGCCGTACATGTTGCTCTGCTCTATAAGTCGCATCAGTCCAAATATGTCTAAGAGAGTGGAAAAATCCATAAATGCATCGCTTCACCGTATACGTTGCATGTATTATGCATCACCGCTGACAACCCAGAAACGTGGGCCAGTGTTGTGCCAAAAATCGATTGGCTGCCAAATGGCGGCTGCATGAACTTGCAGGGGAGGACTTTAACAAAAATTTTAACAAGATTAACACTTAAAAACAATTATTTGTTTGCTCGGAATTATAGTAAAGGTGTGTCTCAGTCTAACTTTTGTTTAATAAATGCACTTTGACAGTCAATTCAACTGTATTTCAAAACCCGCTTCACGTAAGCGAGCAAGCGAGCCGCTGCTCATTTCTTCGAAATTTAACAAGCTAAGCACCTAAAACAATTGTTTGCTTGGAATTATAGTAAAGGTGTATCTCAGTTGAACTTTTACTTAATAAATGTACTTTAATGGTCAAATTAGCTGCATTTTGCCGGGGCGGTGCAGCGAAATGAAGCTGATTTGACGGTTGCTCCAAGCAGAACAAAGATGGCAGGCTGTGGCAAGATGATTGTGCCATTAATAACTGGTGAAGATTCTCGGTCATCCAGGACATTGTAAATTCAAGAAAGTTTCAGAGTCAGAGTCAGAGTTTCTTTATTGTCATTCGCACCTCATGTGGTACATGTGGTGGAGCGAAATTATGTACACAGGGTCCCAGTTACATCCAACAATAAAATGT